AACCATCCAGGAAGGGGCTGGACTTCCGCCGCGGTCGATTCACCGTCTGCAATGTCGCCGCCCCCACCGCCGCCGAGCAGGTACGCCCCCGTTCCCCAATCCCCGCCGGCCGGCAGGAACCGGTAATCCTTCCTTCCTCCGCAACCCCGCATTCGATGTCTGCTTCTGCTTGCGCGCAGGAGGCGACGGCGTCGGCCGCGAAGGAGAGCCAGCGCCCCGTGTACCCGTTCGCGGCCATCGTGGGGCAGGACGAGATGAAGCTCTGCCTGCTGCTCAACGTCATCGACCCCAAGATCGGCGGCGTGATGATCATGGGCGACAGGGGCACGGGCAAGTCCACCACCGTCCGCTCCCTCATCGACCTGCTCCCGGACATCCGCGTCGTCGTCGGCGACCCCTTCAACTCCGACCCGGACGACCCCGAGGTGATGGGCCCCGAGGTCCGCGAGCGGGTCCTGCGGGGGGACACCAGCCTCCCCGTCACCACCGCCAAGATCACCATGGTCGACCTGCCCCTCGGCGCCACCGAGGACCGCGTCTGCGGCACCATCGACATCGAGAAGGCGCTCACCGAGGGCGTCAAGGCGTTCGAGCCCGGCCTGCTCGCCAAGGCCAACAGGGGGATACTGTACGTCGACGAGGTCAACCTGCTGGACGACCACCTCGTCGACGTGCTGCTGGATTCCGCTGCGTCGGGGTGGAACACGGTGGAGAGGGAGGGTATCTCCATATCCCACCCTGCTCGCTTCATCCTCATCGGCTCTGGTAACCCGGAGGAAGGGGAGCTCAGGCCACAGCTGCTGGACCGGTTCGGGATGCACGCCCAGGTTGGTACCGTTAGGGATGCCGAGCTCAGGGTGAAAATCGTGGAGGAGAGGGCTCGTTTCGACAGGGATCCAAAGACGTTCCGTGAGTCGTACCTTGAGGAGCAGGAGAAGCTTCAGCAGCAGATATCGTCTGCACGGAGTAACCTTGGCGCTGTGCAGATTGACCATGACCTCTCAGCGTCAAGATATCCAAGGTGTGCTCTGAGTTGAATGTTGATGGACTCAGAGGTGACATTGTGACTAACAGGGCTGCCAAGGCGCTGGCTGCGCTGAAAGGGAGGGACAGCGTCACGGTCGAGGATATTGCTACTGTCATTCCAAACTGCTTGAGGCATCGGCTGCGGAAGGATCCGCTCGAATCCATTGACTCGGGTTTGCTCGTCATTGAGAAGTTTTATGAAGTCTTTAGCTAGATTGTTCTTGAGGTAAATGTTCCTTAGTCACAAATTTTGGCGGAAACCCTCTTGCTCTGCTGTTCTCATAATGTTCTGCTGTTCTAGTAATATCTGGAGCTTGAATTTGGCATCAATTTTGTGCACCTTGCATCATAATAATGTAGAATCCATTCCCTTCCATTTGGAATGCATGCTATGAGCATCATAATGCTCTTTGCATTTCAGTCTTCCTTGTAAGTCATTGTTACAGCATTGGATGCTAATAATGTATTATATATCTTGTGCATCAGTTTGAATTTCTAAGTATTCGTGAGCCATGGTTTTGACCTTGTGCAATCGTACTACCGATATGCAGTTGTTTGAGACAGTTGGGGATGTGGAGCGGTAGAGGTTGAAATACATTTAGTGCCTCGCAAATTTTTTTAAGGTATTCCTGCTTGTAAGGAAGTGTCCAAATGGGTGTGGGACGTTGACAATCTTGAAAAATTAATGTGTTGTTCCCCCATCGATGAAAGAGGAAATTAATTGATATGAAGCCAAGTGTTATGTAAGTGAGGTGTAATTTGGCATGATTTCATGAATAACAGGAAGGTGAACAGATCTTTGAAACCTCGAGGTAGCTACAAAATTAGCTTGAGATCTCATCATCTCAGTACTTTTGTATCAGTCAAACAACAAATCTGTTTGTTGCATTTCAAAATTCAGCAATTATTGCTCTCATTTTTAGGATTCTGACTTCATGTGTTGATATGATTATATTTCTGGTTCTAGCTTATATTTTATCTATGGAAGTTAGCTATTGGTTTTATTATCATACCTCAATTGTACTGGCTTTGTCAACTGGGCTGGGAGTCTCTGGTTTGTGAGCCCTGTCTTTGAACTAATTTATTTGGCAACATTTATTTACTGCTTAATCACTTGAATGTTTTATGTGCACAGATTAAAGTTGTTTACTCATGTTTTTGTCACTGGAAAATGTAGGTTTATTGGCTTCAGAGCCGTCAGTAGTTAGCTGGTTTTGTCTTACAACTTTTTTCTAATGCCTACTCATGGAAGGCTTTGCGTCTTAAAGTTTTTCTGTACTCATTTCTTCATGGTTTGTCAATGGAGAATGATAGGTTTGTGAGCCTCTATATGATGATATGTCGATGTATGAACACTTTTTCCTAATAGATTTGTCAGCAAATTATACGACTTATGTATTTCATACTCTCAATTTCGATTGGGACTATAATTGGTTGTCTTGTTCTGTTTGCTGGATTAATTAATGCTGAGTAAACCTGAAGATTTATGTTCTTAGATTGAAGTTTATCATGCACATTTAGCATGATTTTCTCAATCAAGAATGGTAGGTTTTACAGCTCTGATATCTCTACATTTTCCTACTATGTTTCATTAAGACTAGTATGTTTCCGGCCTGAAATTGTCTACTAGACTGGATGGTTTCTATCTGTTAGCTTTGGAATTATTATTTCTTTGCTCAGCTACTTTCACCAATCTTAAAGATTTTCTGTGCGTGGATTAAAGTTTTTGTTGTGTGCATTTATCATGACTTTGTCAATCGAAAATTGTAGGTTTGTTCTCAACACGTTTTTTTTAAGAATGTCAATCCGATTTATTCTTGGGGTGTAAACGGCCTTGGTTTTCGGCTTACTCATTCTTTTTTTTTTTTTTTTTTTTGTGAATCTAGTGTTTTCTTGTGTTGAATACCATAATGGTTTTTAATACCTAGGACTCATTTCGTATTAGCATTACGATATTTCATGTTAACTGTTTATATCAGCTCAGGATAATGCTGTTCCTCTTCCTCAATATCCTAACTTATTTTCTTTAATTCACTGGAACAAAAGTAAAAGCGCACCCAGGACCTGAGCTATGTTATCTGGAGCGATAATCGTGTCCCTGTGGTAATTTTTTTTGTATGCCTAGCATGTGTACCAAGCTTGTTAGCTATGTGCCTAAGCATCTTTTATCTTATAATAATGAGTGCATCATCTTGCTTTAGAAGCAACCATTCTTGAAGTGCTAAGCATTGCCATGGGCTATATTATGCAGCACGCCTTTCTAACGAAGTAGTAGTATTAAATTCTTATTGTAAAAGGATAGAACATGAAGAGTATACTATTGTACACAGACAAATAAGGATGTGCTGACTAAAGTTGCTCAAAAGCTTTCAAAAAGCATTTTTTTATCACTTGGTATAAGAGCAGCACGCTGGTGATGGAGGTAGCGTTGTGTTTGATAATTGCCTTGAGGGCACATGTTTAACTTTCATTTTTTTTTGTCCTCGATGGCACACGTGTTCTCTCCCGCTGGCTTTGAGGGCACATGCTTAACTTTCTTTTGTTTGCCCTTGAGAGCACACATGCTCTCTTGCTCTGCATCGTTGGATAGGTAGAGCATCTCTAAGAATATCCCATATTCTTTTCTATCCGTTTTTTTTAGAAAAAAAGAGAAAAACTTATCTCTAAGAGTATCCTATATCTTTTCTTCATCTATTGGTAATTGGCAAATAGGACGGCATCGTGCGTAAAAATGCGCGCAGCCTTTGTCGCGCGCATCGTTCTTCTCCGTGCCGTCTTCTAAAGGTGGAAGGGTGTGGGAAAGAATAGAGAGTAGAAAAGGGTTTCTGATGCAAATATACGAGAGAGAAAGAATATATAAAAATGATTACGATAATTTAGAAATAGTATAGAATTACTAATATAAAATTATCTTCTATTTTAGGAGTGGATTATTGAAAACTCTTGGAAATAATCTTCTTTTTTTCTTCCAATGTCTTTTTATACTGTCTCCAACAACCATTATCCAAAATACAAGACCTATTTTATATTTGGGTAGCGCTACAGGTAAAGGTTTTAATACCCATAAAATGTTTTCTCCAACAACAAGACCTAAAAGAGAATATTTTTTGCAAATAGGTCTCTAGGAGAAAGGATAATCAGATTTGGGTTATGTCTCTCTTGATAACAAAAAATGGGTCTTCCATATAGGTACTCTGTTGGAGGTTATAGATATTTAGTTGGAGATCTATTTTAGATTTGGGTCTCGCAATGCATCTCCTGTTGAAGATAGCCTTAGAAGTTACAAAACTATATGTTTTTTTATAGGAAAAAATAGAATACTCTCAGAGATGTTCTAAGATACGTGCATAACAGGAAGCATGTGCCCTTGAGGGTAAAAGAAAAACTGCATCCCAGGGATGCGGCGTATCCAGCAGACAGGTTGTCCTACGTCTTCTACTGCTGCAGTTTTTTTAAAGGTTCCACTGCTGCCAACCTGAATGATTCTGCAAGTGCTGAATGAGAGAGCTAACATTAGATAAAGATGGGTTCTCTTTGCAGTCAAGTGTAGGATGAGGTGCATGCGAGCCTCCACTGTACTAGGCTACTAGCAAGATAACCTTACACACTAATACACCAGTTCAACGTAACAAGCACAAGCACATCGCAATATACCAGTCGATACACAAACTACTACTTCTGCCCAACATATAATCATTATAAATTACGAAGGTAACAGTAAAGCTTAGAGCTACGAACTAATGACGAATCAGTGACCAAGCAACCTTCACGAACATCTTGGTCACACCAAGAGTAATTACATCTCCGTCTCCACGGTTGATATGTGGAGTAAAAGTGATGGTCTTTCACAATCAGCATCACCAGTCTGGGCCACTACAGTCACAAGCAGCATCTCCTCCAGAGAGACAGATACAACGGATCGCAAAAGTTAGATAACACCGGTGCTGTTGTTCATCACACCAGCCACTTTGCTATCATGAAGCACAAGATGATATATTAGGGACCCCGGTGGTGCCAGCAGTGATTTCTCCATAAAATTCTCCCCTTAGGACTTCAACTGCAATGGTAGCCTCCACTGCATTGTTCACAACTGCATACATCACCTCCATGGTACTGAGCCTGGTAGCAATTTCATCGCTGTCAACCTTGCATCTGTCCAAATATCGACTTGCTGTGCCCCTGATAGTCAAGCATCCTTTACTAAGTTCTTTCTCTTCCTGCACCTGACGATCCTTGATCTTCAAATCAAATTCAACATGTACATCACCTAGTAAATAGAGTCCTCATTTTGGGCCAGTCAAGATCAATGTTTCATCCTATATGGAGAAGTTAAAACATGATATGTTAGTGATATATATTTGTCCAATACAAATAAAATCACACTAAATTTTAGGTACGCATAGATGAACTGATGCCATTGCTAATAGTCCAGCGATTTGTCTGTACACGTGTATAGTGATATCAGTACACGTCTCAAAATTATCATGAAGTTCAATAAGCTTTCGCAAAAAAAAAAAAGAAGTTCAATACGAAGCCAGACGTCCATGACAGAATTGATAAACAAGCAAGATGTAGAAATGATTTTATCAACTACTATGGACCTAAAGAATGCATGTCTAAAAGAAACATTAAAAACAAACATAGAACAAGAATATGCTTTGTTTTGAACATGTGCCCTTTATTAAGGCTACACCATGGTCATCTGGCATTATGCTAACTGATCAGCAACATACACATTCAGAACAAGAGGATGCCTAGCACCTAGGAGGCTGCATATGTTTAATGACGACTACTAGGGATATAACAGTACAAAAACAGCAGAAGTATGAACATTGGATTTTTTCTCTATATATAGGCAAGAAGGGAGTGCCTAATCCTACTTACCTTTGAGTTGATGGGTTGACAATTATCTTTCTCACGATGGAAGAGGTAAACACACTTGTAATCAATGCTGTCTCTGAAAAATCACAGTGCCGTACACATCAATGGGGAAACCGACATCCGATGATGCTATCGTCACGGATAGAATGTTCACTGCAGCACTCTTCCGGTGCTCATCACCCTCATTGTAGATTATATATGTGTATCTCATTGGTTCAAGGGGAGCTGTGATGTGGAAAACGAAGAAAAGCTAGCCAATTAGATTCATGTTTACACTTTGGAACTAATGCTGATACTGAAGTAGACACTACACATGCATAAATTTTTTTTTTTTGACGAAAATGGTTGATACTGGCTAACTGAGTTGAAACTGAAACTAGTCGTCAGCAACACAACCACAAGTCAGCAACACAGCCAACTAGGATAATTTTTTTATTCAGAAAAAAAACATGGTATGCAGAACGCAGAGTAAAATATTTGATTGATTACTGAATATTCAACGAATTGAATCCAGCAGGATAATAATTTGTATGAATTAAAGTTCTACGGCTGGCAAACAAGGTAGATGCACGCTAGCAATACAAGATTGATCGACTTACATTCCTCGTCGAGGTCGAATTTGGAGAAGTCGGCGTAGTTAAATCGATTGTAGTATTTGCCCCACCGCTTCAGATCGTAGTCTGAGATTTTAGCCACCACGGCCTTATTGGCGTTATCCCTGGCGTTCGCCGCCTGGAGGCGCTGCGCCGCCTTCTGCGCCTCCTCCTGCTCTCTCCTCATTCGCCTCTCATGATCAGCCACCGCCTCCGCCTCGTCGAAGAAGAAAGGTTCCAAGTCCCCCCATTCCTCCTCCTCCTCGTCGTACCCGGAGCCGCCGCTGCCGCCCCCTGCCACGGACACGCCGCTGCCGCCCGGCACCATGAATAGGCCGCCGCCCCAGGAAAGAAAGGAAGGGTAAGGTATAAGATCCGATCCATATGATCTTGCTTAGGGTTCGCGCGCTTTTCCCCCCTTTTATTTTGTGCTGAGCCCAGCAGCCCCCGGTCACTTGAATGGGCCAAGACCTGGTCACGGCCCATAGGCCATAGGCCCTGTCAAACAAGCAGGAACAGGGAGCAAACAATGAGCGCGGCTGGCTGGCTGGCCAGCCCACTCACGAAAGCACTGTTCACGTAAACAGACGTAACACTATTTTTCTCTAGTAACAATTAACCAGAACAGTATTTTTATTTTTTTTCAGTCCTGCCGAACAGGCCGAATACGTTTCAGGTGAAGTTGCTCTCTGTCCATTCCTCTACGTGCTTTTCTTTAGTACACATTTACACTAACCAGGAGTCTTCTTAAAGGTCCTGATGCATGTCGAACAAGAACTGAAAATTGCAGAGGAAGCTCGCATCTCAGCCGAGCAGGATGCTGCTGCTCAGAGATACACAGCAAATGTTCCTTTTTTCATTGCTGAAACTAGTAATGCCGGTATTAGTGAAGAGCTGGGTATTGGTTCTTCAATTATATACTGATGCCACTACTTATTATTGTTTTTATCAGAATTAGCAAAATTAGTGTCTTCTTTCTGCTCTTCTTTTACCCTAGCTTCTTCCACGCCTACATGATCATGGCATATGTGCAGGAAAACCTCTGTTCAAACAGATATCCCTGAATTCCATAGATGAAGGTATCTGAATGCCCTGATGCTCATGATCTCAAGGTATCCCAAATAGATGAACTCTGCTTGATCCAATAGCTCAAATAAATGAAAGTATCTGAATGTTGCTGTCATCAGGTTAGGTGTTATATGTCAAGCTTAACTATTTTTTTTCTCCTGAAAACTAAATGGCAAATTGCGCAAGTTCTATACGCTCTGTGCATTTTTTTCCCGTGCACGCTGTATCCGGCGACAGGTCTGCAGTTTTGTTTTTTTAAGCTCCGCTGCTGCCAGAACGGGTGTAATAAATGAATAAATGATCCAGCCGAGTGCTGAATGCGAGAGCTAATATTGGATAAAGGGTTTGCAGTCACGCGCGTGAGCTTCCACTGTATAGGCTAATAAGATAACCTTACACACTACTACCAACATAACAAGCACATCACAAATTCACAATACCAGTCAATACACACAGTACTACTTGTGCCCAACATAGTCATTATAAATTACTAAGTTAACCAGTAAAGCTCAAAGCTACAAACTACTGACTAATCAGTGACCAAGCAACCTTCACCTACACCAACAGTAATCACATCTCCGTCTCCACCACTGACATGTAGGTTGAAAGTGACGGTTCTCTTGACAACCAAAATTGTTCATTTTGTCAAGTTTTTAACATATGGAACATACTTCACCATTGTGTTCCTCTCGTCGAGATGGTCAAAAAACATATATGAAACGTCTAATTTGGAGTGCGGATGAAGGAGTTATGCCCCCAGAAAGGTGCTCCGTTGTCGGGAGTTCCGACAAGACTTTCGACTGTCGGGAGCTCTGACCCAAGCCGGGACTTCCGACAGACGTCGGGAGTTCCGACAAGACTTCCGACTGTCGGGAGTTCTGACCCAAGCCGGGACTTGCGACAGACGTCGGGAGTTCCGACAAGACTTCCGACTGTCGGGAGTTCTGACCCAAGTCGGGACTTGCGACAAACATCGGGAGTTCCGACAAGACTTCCGACCGTCGGGAGTTGCGACCCAAGTCGGGACTTCCGATAGACGTCGGGAGTTCCGACAAGACTTCCGACAGACCTAACAGAAAATCCTATTTGGATCTGGCTTTTTGGATTTCGATCCGAACTGTTCCAAACTCGTGAAAAACTTGAAAAATAAGGCTTGAAGAGGTTTTCTACTCGGATAAGACCACCCCTCTATATTATGAGAGGATCATGGCCGATTGAGATCCCATCTATCCAATTGACACAAAAACACAACAAATCAATCTACTACCTCTTTTTACCCTCTTTTCCCAATCTACCTCTTCTCCTCATTCTTCGTTGGTGCTATATGGCCGGAGGATCGACGACGACAACGCTCTAGAGCGGTCAGGCCGGCTAGAGAAGCCATAGCCGCCGCACGCCCCGACGGATCCCTCCCGGGCGTGTGGGATTTCGGGTTTCAATAGACCTCGCTGGTGTGTCTTGCGTATCGCGCTCCTGACGAGGCTCCTCCTCTGACGTGTCTTGCGTATCGCGATCATCGCTAGAGGCACAAGGTTCAGGTGTGGACATCCTCTAGGCGCCGGCTGATCCAAAAATCATCTAGGCCTTACATCGAGCGATCTAGCTCCTTATCGAGTGTGTGACCTAATTAAGCGTCAACACACTTTTTGGCGACTCCGCTGGGGAACGATTGTTTCATCTATCTCTTATTGCCGATCTTTCTAACCTAGCCTATTCGTTGGTTCCAATATATCCTTTTTTATGTTCTCATTACCGCTGCTTAATCTGGCCCAAAAGGCCGAAAGCATCTGGTCTTGATCTTCTTTTATTAAGATGTGGAACAACTGTCGCAATGGCAAGTTCACCAGCCCAATGGGTCAGGAGAGCATCGTCAAGTCTACAACCATAGCTGAGGTAAAAGCACTTGGAATAGATGAAGATTCTCCTCTTTTTCATACTATGGTTAAGCTTATGACTAGATTAGGTGAGTTAGAGGAAAGAAAGTTTGGTGCTCCTATTGCTACTTCACCTCATGCTCCATATATTAGTGAATCGGCCCCGACTTTTAGTCAACCTCAATATGAGAGGCCATTTTACTATTATCTTGATCAACATGGTAGGTTTGTTTTTGATAATCAATCCAAATTGTCTTCTTCGACACCTGAAACCGATAGGGCCAATTCAGGAGAGGTTAACACTAAGCTTCCTGCTGAAAGGCCGTGTTATTTTGATCAGCATGACAGGTTGATTTTAAAGAGTCAATCCAAATTGGTATCTTCGGTACCTGAAACCGATAGGACCAATTTAGGAGGAGCTAGCACTATACCTCCTGATAAGAGGCTATCTTACTGTTATATTGATCAATATGGCAAGCTTATTTTTAGAAAGAAAAACCTGAATTGGTCTCTTCAGCACCTGAAACCGATAAGACCAATTTAGGAGAGGCTTGGGTTATATCTCCTGGCAAGAGGTTGTCTTACTGTTATATTGATCAAAACAGCAAGCTCATTTTTAGGAAGAAACCCGAATTGGTCTCTTCGGCGTCCGAAACCGATAGGACCAATTCAGGAGGGGTTAGCACTATTCTTCCTACTGCTACATACACACCTGATTCGGTTTGCACTTCTCAAACCGATGACAGGACAGCAGCACCACATGCTTCATTGCCTCATATTACGGTGTTGTCTAACTCTCCGAAGTCATCGTGCATGGTTTCAATGCCTGAGGCTTCATGTGATGCCTCCCAAACCGATTCACGGAAATTTATTAATCGGTTTTGGAAATCAAAAGAGGCAAAATTGGACATGCAAGCCACACATGATGGAGATGCGCATGCTTTACCTTGCAATAAGACACTTTCTATGGCTGAAACTTTAGAGATAAATAATCCAGCCATCTTGATATGATCGAACCAAGCCGATTCCGCTATTGGAAAGAATGTGATAATCGACGAGCCCAGAGAATCTAAGAAGGGAAATAAAGTCTTAGATCGTGAGGTGGTGCTAGAAAAATCCAATGGTAATCGGGAGAGCCTTAAGATCACTATCAAATCCTTTGGGCTCGGGGGCAAAGCCCAAACTCCCGTGGACAAGCAGAAATCAGCCACTAACACTATTGTTCAAAAAGGGTCAATTAGGCTGACTTTAAAAGTCGGTCAAACTGGTTTTAATGTTGGTGGACAGAAAAAAAATCAGCAAGACAGATTTCCCAAATCGGTCAAGCTAGTTGTGAACAAAAATTGCAGCATACATGTAAAGATGGAGTGTTGATTCCTTATCCATTAATACATCAAAATCCTCACCGGTGAAGGATGTGTGCTGGTTTATCTCACAATGAGCAACAGAGTGTCCTTTAGAGCCGATTGAGCTATGGCCAATCGAGCTCCAGCAAGGCAGGACTGATTAAGCTAGTTTTGGTTAAATTTGCTAATCAGGTCCAACAAAGGGATGCTCCAATCAAAGAAAGTGAAGGACCAATTGTCATTGACAATCTAGACCAATCTAATGTGGAGAAAATATCAAGGGGCACTGCTGCCAAAGATCATAATGCCCAAAGTAGCATATCAGTGCCCGAGAACTTCCAACCTACATGGTGCCCTTCGGGTTTATCGAGAACGCAAAAGCGCAAACTCCAGCATGCTCGTTACAATAAGCTTAAGCAAGAAGGGCTAGCAAATATGGGGAAACAATTTTTTGACAAGATGGATCCAATTCTCCCTCAGTCAAACAAGAAAGAGCTGGCGGCCTGCTCAAAGCCGGCTGAGCTGATTTCCCAGTCAGCTAAGTCAACTTCCCTTGCCTCTGGCCAAGTTGGCCAAGCCAAATCTAAGTTGGCTAAGCTGACTTCTTCTGTTGCAGCTCCTCTGTCCACTGTGCAAGTTGGCCTAGCCAATTCCAAGTCGGCTAAGCCGACTCTTACGATACCAGTAGCCGCCGATGTGCCTCAGGTTGATTCGGCGCCTGTTTTTGTTCATGTAGGCGTTGGGGGGCCTCTAGAAATCAAGATGGCTTTGCCCCTCATAGTGCTATTTTTTAGAAGCCAGTAGACCACGTGAATCACCTCAAGCCACTGCATGTGAAGGGCTATATTAATGGCAAACTGGTCAACAACATGTTGGTAGATAATGGAGCCATGGTAAATCTAATGCCATATTCACTTTATAAGAAGCTTGGCGGATCTGATGAGGAGCTGATTAAGACCAAGAGGACGGTCAAAGGTGTTGGAGGAAATTCTAGTTTGGCCAAGAGATTTGCCTTGATGAAGCTTACTATCGAGAGCAAA